CATGCCGTTGATTCCACATTTTCTTCTGCTTAAAGTGATAAATGTAAATAATTTACTCTTTTATCAGGACTTTTTTTTGCCTCCTCAGTTGCTGATGCATTTCAGTACAGCATGTGCCTACACCTATTCTTCGTCCTTCGTCTCCCACCTCCTTCCACTGACACATGAAACCGACGCCAGAGAAGCAGCAGAAACAAATGACAACAGTTAAGCATTTTTAGGTTGGGCTGTGAAGTAAATTACCCCAGTGGGTAATTTGCATAGAGCTATTGGCACAGTTTAGACAGGTCTTCCAGCCAGGCAGCCTCTGTTTAACACCAACTGTGTACAGAGCTACCCCTGGGCAACACACCTGACACCCTAACCCATCGTTTCCAAGATGCAGTTTTATGCACAGCTAAATAGAACGTTGGTAAAAGAAGATCATTAACTTAAGACGCGTTAGTTCAGTTGCATCTGAGGTTTAGTCCAGACAAAACACAGGTCTTCAACAAATTTAATCTTCTAAACATTTTCCTTCCTTGCATTGCTGTAAGGCTTTTCCGCTAAAGCATTGGGCTGAAGTAGGTGAGCAGCTCATCTCTCTTGCACAGGCACAGAGGCATTAATGCTTCAACACAACAGTTGAACTTTGATCCTGAGGTATGTTAACCTGTGAAGATAGAAACAATATTTAAAACTCAAGTCTACTTTTGCTAGGTAAAGATGGCTTTGAGGTAAATCTGCGTGCAGAATGCCCTCTGCTGGAGCACGTGGAAACCTCAGATAATCTTGGGCATACTTGAACCTCTGTTTTCAGTGTCTAATAATACTTGGGCTGCAGATTAAAAAGATAAAGCAGGAGAGAACCCAAACAAATTAACATTGAAGGAGTCATATATTACTGGACCGGTGTTTGCTGTTCTGAACATTCAAAATGGAAAACATTTAGTGGGATTTGTTGTATATAAATGCACTAATACCCTTAGTGTTCTGTTTATTTATATTTTATTTTCACTGTATGATTGCCCAATTTCCTGTAGCACCATTGAATTTCTGTTGTTAAAAATACAGGATGTGATGTTCTTCACCTGCTTAGCTTTTATTTAGCAGAGAGATGACAGTGTGAGGGCAGATAACTTATAAAAAGGTTTTTTAATCTGCCCTAGTTAGGGACTGCTGGTACAAAGCCTGGTTTTGTGTGTAATAGAAGATTTTTTATTTATTTATTTATTTTTATTGTGCTGCAATAAAAATTGTATGAAAGAGATTAAAAAGGGAGACCTGCGTTTCACTTGGCTCTGAAGAAATCTTTTATAGACTGTTTATTCCAACCTTGACTTGTGATAACTGGATTGGAAGCCTCGCTGATGTTGCTGGCTACTGTTGGGCTCTTTAATGAAGACTTAAGAGAATCTAATAGACGGAACAACAAACAGCAGTAGGTCACACCACAGTAATTAAGCCCACGTCTTTTTTAATACAAAACTGATTAATTTGTTTAATCAAAGCCTTATCCTTGAAGAGAAGTCAGTTGTAATTATTGTGATGCCCCACAGCGGAGCTGCTTTTCCTGTTCGTGCTTCTCGTGTGAAAACACTTAGACTTTTCTTATCTTGAGCCACGAGGATGGATGGGTGATAAAAATGATGGGATTTTACACTGGAAGCCTAATCTCCTATGTAGATCTCACAATTTATGTAGACCTGTAAATAACAATTATGGAGCTCAGTTTTATATTTGTACTCTGTTTGGGGCAGTGATGGCTTGGTGGTTAAGGAAGCGGACTTGGGTCCAGAGGGTTTCAAGTTTGAGTCCACCAGCTGCCACTGTTGCCACTGAGGTGCTCTGAGCATGGCACCGTCCACACACACTGCTCCCCAGGTGCTTAAGCTGCCCACTGTTCACTTTGGTGATGGGTAAAATGCAGAGGACACATTTTGTTGTGTGCAGTGTCACAATGACAAGTAGTTCACTTTCCTTCCACTTTCCTTTATTGACGAGTTCTGCACAGCCACCAGAGGTGTTTGATGCAAATACTTGGGTTCAGACACAGACCAAACATAAGTAATGGATGTAGCTGTTCTGTTAGGAGTCACACCCAGGTTCCTTTAATGCATTGATTGATGTCTGTCTAATATTTTATTAGTAAATTTTTTTATTGGAGATTCATGGTCTTAACTACTCATTTTGCCATTTAGTAGACTGTCAGTTTGATCATGTTTTATCCTCCATTTTCCTATAAATATGATTTTACTCAACAATATCAAATAAGGAGTGCGCCACCTGGCCTAAATTCATATTATGACTAAATTAAACATTTAAACAATCATTTCTTTAGTAAAGCCTGTGGCTGAAGAGCTACAGTCATGGCCAAGAATTCATGCTATTGTCAGTGGTTCTACGTACATTCTTGCAGGTCTTGTGACTTGAAGTCCACATAACACATTGTATTGGTCTTTTCACCAATGCTTCTACATGCACTACTTACTCAGAGCCATTTTCTAAGCAAATTGCTTTGCAGTTCTTCTGCAAGTCAATAGCATTAACATCAAGCACTGTGATGGTTGAACTAAAAAACAAAATAAAACAAAAAACACCCTAATTTGGTTTAAAAGCAACCAACAACACTCAAACAACTAACTGACATCAAAACGTATTCTATTATGGATCCAGTGAAAAGCATCAGATTTGTGGAATTTACTCAGTAAAAACAACAGTTTCTATGATGGCTATTGATTATTATACAAATTGATCACCAGACTAATTCTTAAATTTGGTCTGTGGTTTTGTTTGCAGTAGAAATAAGCTATTGAAATTTTTCTCAAGGCAGCTTTGGAAATTCCGTCTTTAGATTTTAGCACTGGACTACAATGATTTAAAATGACACACAAATCTGTGCACGTAATAACCCTAGAATAATTGAAATGACATGATATATATTAAACTTGAAGTGCTGGAAATGAAAACGACGCTGTTTGCTGTCAGCGGCAATTTGTGGAACATTTCCTGTGTCTTTGTCTGTTATAACCCACCTGACCCCTCTTCATTAGGTGGTAATTTAAACGCTGTCTTTGCAGTGCGTCATTTATCAAGCATGTTTCAACAGAGTGCTTTTACACCATAACTCCTCGTGGCCTTGACAAATTGTTCTTTCTGTGTACTTCTCGTTATCAACAAAGCTGTTGCCAGTAATTGCCGTAGGAATGTAATATTCTGCTTAAAGAGCAGCTCCAAATTGTCTCTGTTCCTTCCAAATTACTGCGGCTTTGATTTGATTATTCACAGTAAAATATTAACTCGTGTGCCAACTGGAGGGGGGCTCAACTCTGCAGCCTCGAACTGCGTTTTTATCCACCGCACGCTAAACGTTGCCTTATTCTTTGAATCTCATGTTAATTCAGTCACATGAAACCTTGTGTCGTTGCAGTGCTGATGTGTTATGTAGGTCAATTCTTTCTCAGTGTTCGCTGCGTGGCCTTGTGATGAGCGATTTCATTTTGCCAGCGAGGTGTGATTTTATTATTCATACTCTAACTGAGATTGGAGTTGTGGTGCATCAAAGCATGACTCTGTCATTTCCTCACTCCCAGAGCTGTTATTCTCTTTGCTTCAAATTGGAATTAAACCCAGCTTTGATGCTGGCCCTAATTGTTTTTTTTCCTCTCGCAGACAAAATTCTAGCTAAACCCTCTCTGTCTGAATGTACACACCCATTCTCTCTCACACACACACACATTCCTAAAAATCTGTACTTTTATTTAATATTCTGCATCTTTCCCAACAGGGATTTTAGAGTATTTCTGTCAGTGTTTGATAACAGAAGTGGATTTTCTCACTTTAGATTCAACACACACTGAGCTGCATTTTCTTCTTCGTTTTGTGTCCTTTCCGATCTGATCAGCACATTTTTTCCAGTATTGAATAGTTAAACACAAAGTAGTTGTGTATAAAAGTCACATTGAACGACATGCTGAGGGGATTCCAACTAAATTTTGCAGTATGCTTATTACCTTAATGCCCTTACAACTATTCCCCACTGGTGGCTGCACTGTAACAGATACTGGATCAACGGCTGCTCAGATCTAATCACAACTTTCCTTGGGAGCAGTTTCTCTCCGTTTGTTGCTCTAAAGCAGCATGGGGTCCCATATATCTTTTTTGGTACTGTCTCTTCTGTTGATCTAATTGGATACCCTCTGTTGCCTACAATGAATCATTGCTGGACGTCTTCTCTCCCCCTCAAGTACTTATTTTTATTGAATGCAGGGTTCCCCTGAATCACGAGCCTCAACCTTAAAACTTGTATTTGTCCCTTGGCTCCAGTCATTGATCTTTTTTTTCTTTAGAGCTGTGTCAGTATCACTTTTATTCCAGCAGAGGATTATAGGCTTGCTTTATGTGTTCTGCCTCCCAAGAGAAGGCCAGGAGTTCAGGCCATTCTCTGCACTCCACTAATTGACTCCTGATTTGGTAAATGCATTTTAAGGTGGAATGAAAAAGGCTAGACCCTCTTTGTATTCCCATATGCGACCAACACTTCCTCCACTCCTGTGTGTATCAGTATTGTTACTTATCCTTCTTCTGCCCTTGACTCTTGACTCGCACTGATGTAGAGGAAGTTGTGTCGCAGCAGAGGGATTTTAACAGTGACACATCAGAGGCAGACGTGAGGTGACAGGAGTGTTTTTGGAATGCCTCCAATAACGCAATAACTTCTGTCTCAAAGTGTGAGAAGTTAAAATCCTGCCACTTCTCTGGCAATTCAATGTGATGATCGTCTCACTCAACTGCAAAACCATGTTGAAAATCCCTCCAGGAGAAGTGGCTCTAACAAAGCAAATTAAAGGCAAAGATTGTTTTTAATTACTTGCCCACTGCAGAATTGAAAGACCCAGGTTTTGCTTGTGGCCAACAGTATCGACTTAAGTGTATGATCTTTTAATGAGTATGTGTGTAAATGACTTGCTTCGACTGTGTATGCCTGAAAGGCTAATTAGTTTGTTTTTTGTGTTTTGCAGCGAAGGGATTCTCTGTTAAATCCGAGGCAGATTTAAAGTCTCCCAGACAGAACAGGATGTCAAAGATCTCCAAAGCAGCCAAGGCTGTGAAGAAATTGGACACAGGCGGTATAATCCGGACTATAGTGAGGTCAGGACAAGCAACACCTGGACCTCCACTGGGCCCCATTCTGGGACAGGTAAAATTACTTACAATTTCACTTTATTTTCAATTTGTGCGTGCCAAGTAATCACAGGTAAAAACTTAATGAAAAGAACGGGGTTTCATTTCATCAGCTGACCTGCGTACAGCTTTCATTAACCGTGAGACAACCTGAGCCTTCCTGATTTTCAATTTGCCAATCACACAGCTCCCTCTCCCCCCTCAGTCACCCCTGTGTACAGCTGCAGCATCACCTCCATCTCTTCCTATGGCTCTCCTTATATTCCCATTCTTATTCCAGTCGCACACCTCCATTGTGAGGGTGGGTGACACTCAGCCTCAGCCTGAACCTAATTTCTCACAGTTTCAAGAGACACTAACACCTCCCTCCACAGCAGCTGTCCACGCACATTCCTCACACTTTACAAGCCAGTTGATGAAATGGGATTCGACTTGTGAAGGGTTTTGTCTTAAAGTCTTGTAAAAGTATCTGTGCTTTCGATTGCTCCAGAGAGACAGCTGAGGTTGTCTTGTTTTTTATCGCTCAGGGATGCAGCACTTCAACTTCTTTATCATCTTTGCCACTTTCCAAGCAGAGAAATTTATGTATTGGCTCATGCACATATAAAAGTCGTCAGCAGCGACGAGTCTCCATGCATTCAGCACCAACATTTATGAGTTTGAGTGAGTGGCATTGGACCAAAGCCATATTTTTTCCCAGTATAAAATTCATTTTTTTGTTTTTAAGTAGTCTGTTGTAAGGAAGGCAAGAATTTGACTTTTTTCAACCAGGCAGATTGATACTAGTTTGAAAGCCCTGGTCTGTGAGCACGTTGGAACAACATTAATTTTTTTTAAATTGAAACTTGAACAAAAGTTTTTGGAAGCGATTGCCCACATAAAAATACCCCATGGCAGACATGTTCTTGTCTACAATTTATCTGGGCAGGAGACCTTAAGGCTCTGTTGTTGTGTATTGATGAATTTCAACAGCTAGAAGATAGAAAAAAACACTATGACAAAACTTAAAATACACTTTTTTGAAACACAAATCTATTCTAACCTAGATAAATCTTAAAATTGCCTTCTGTGACAACTTTTCTGCTGTGTGCTGAACGTGCCTCTCACCCAACACTTTTTTGACTTGCATTACTGTCACATACCAGGTCTACTGTTATGAAATGTGTGCCCAAAAAATGTCCTCGCCACTTGCCACGGATTGGGAAAAAAAGCAAATGCAGGAACATGGCATTGTATCTGCAGGTGAACTTACAGTACCATCATACACATGCAAAAGGTGTTAAATAATTAATGTTAATAATTCATTCTAGAAACATCTTTTACACTATAAAGTCCCAATCTGCTGCTGATTTGACATCCATTTGTCTATTAAAATATGATTGTCCTTTACAAGATTGGATGAATAAAACCTGTGGTTCTCTCTGTACATACAAATGACCCAGTTGGCGACTTTAATGGACAGTGCTCAACAGCCTCGGTTGCTGTTGCACGCTTGGAAAGCAAATCAGTTCTCGCAGTTAATTTATCTTTGTGACTTGACTAAACACGCGCAGATAGAGGACGGTAGAAGAGTGAACCCAAACTGGCAGGGAACAAAGCTGCACATGAGTAATAATATCAGGGAATAACAAATGCCAGAAACCCTAACTGAGACAGAGTTCAGTGCCGTTAGTGTTTGGTCACTATGTACATGACATGACATGTAAAAGGAATGGAACCTTCGTTGGTAAATAACACCATGCCTGGTGTTGCTGACATTATTTCAGCTGTGCTTCTTCACTGTATTTTTTTTAGTGTGGGTCTGATCACATGGCTCTGATGTTGAGTGAACCCAGAGAAATTCTATCAGAACTAATGATAATATCCTGTGGGAGCTTCTTACTCCCAGATCTGCTGAAGAAGCTGGTCATAGTCCTGGACACTCTGTGGCTGTTTGTTACATTTTTAGTCATATTTTTGTCTCCTATCACTGAAATCAGATCAAATTCTCCCACACCTACCTTAACGAGGGTGTGTCATGGTGATTAATCCATGAAGATTAATTCTCTGTGCTGGACTAAATTCTTGTCAACTCGGGTATGAAGAATCAGTGTTGACTTGTCACTGATCTCCACCCTCCAGTGTGAACTCTGAACATGTTTTTTGAGTTGGACTGGTCATTTAGTAATATTTGTTTAATGCTGGCCTCCTGTGCTCTTTGTTAATGAGTCGGCTTTACCAATATGCTAGATGAAAATGTGTCACATATAAAGGGAAATTACACCCACACATTTTCTACCCAACAATAAAGTGAGGGCTTCATTCTTTATCCTCATGCCTTTGCAGCATTTGTTTTATCCCTGCTCGGAAACAGAGCAGCCAGCTGGGCCACTGCTGCCAAGCACACAGGCTGTAAAAACCCAGTTGTACCATCTCGGCAATGTTTACCAGTTAGATGTATAATTGATGTTTAGATTTTTACTGATAACGTTTAAGTCAGAGCCTAAATCTCCTGTCCCTCAGCTGCACTGGAAATGTCTGAACTCTGGCTGAAAGACATTTGTTATGACTCAGACTGTCACTCAACTCTCCACTGGAAAGATCATTGAGTTTCTTATTCAGTCTTGAACAAAGCACAGCAGTCCTTTAGGAAATATCAGTGGCGCATGTGAATTTGCAATGCAAATTTGTACAAAACACAATGTTGTTTTAAAAAATTGCAAACACACCTCTTTGAAATGTTGGCACACTCTGTAGTCGCAATTAAAACTGTAGTTTAAAAACTGTACTCTAGTTTGACAATGTTCCTACACCTTTCCTAATCAGACAAAAGTGTTGGCCCGACCAGAGGAAGTTAAGAGAGAGCTCAATTCATTGCTGATTCACATTAACATGTATTTTAAACTCGGGTTTTAGTCATTTGAAACATCAGGATACCAATTGTTGCAGTTTTCTAAAATGTTGCCCTTTTGTGGTGCGTATCTTTATGACTGACCTAATAAAGTGTTAAGGCATTTAATTCGATCTTAAAAAAACGGACTAAATTGTAATTTGGTCTTTGTCCAATTTTAGTCAATAGAACAGTTTTAAGTTTAGTTTTAATCGTCAGAGACTACAGGTTGTAGGTCAGGTCTACAAATAGAAAGAAAAGACTGATATCATTTCACACAGTCAGTTTTGTTTCTCTACTAAAAGGAAAACTTGACTTTCTTCAGTATGTTGAAGAATTTCTTTTCTTTAGCAAATAATCTGTCACCACCAGACCAGCAAGACTGCTTCTACAAAGGCTTTTAGTTGGAAACTGATCAAAAGAATTGGAACCTTTTAATTGCAGCAAGTGTGTTAAGTGGTGATGTCACAAGGCCACTTCACAGTACGTGTGTTCAGCCAAAAAAAGTCTGGAGTTAAATGGATTTGATGTTCTCACTTGGACACTCACACTTTCCTAAATCAGACCATTCATGCTTCTGTCCTTGGCCACAGTTTTTCTTGCACTTCTTTGTGTCTTGTTCTTCACATTTTATGTTCTTTAGTGTATTTTTATTACTCTCTATTTAGGTGCAGTAAAAAGACAAATGTGGGATATTTCTAAATAACAACCGTCAACCCACTTAAACACAGGGGGCAGCAGTGTAGAGATCAGACGCTCCTGCGGTCCATCTCTGTCCCCTGCAGTGTGTCAGATTGTTGATATGCATGAAGCCAAACTTCTAACTGCAGCTAATAGGGTGTCATAAGAGTGTGACTGACTGAGTCGGTGGATGAAGTACTAGGTGTTCAGGAAAGTATGTCAACTTCCCACTTCATATTATACACTCTAAGGCGCCATTTCCTATTTTGTGCTTTTTCTTTTGTAATTCTTCTTCTAGTCCACAGTTCAAGGCCAGTCGTGCGTCTTGTTAATAGACATTTATGTCTGATTTAAGTCCACTTCATAGACAGTATTAGGATATGCATCTGTCCTGGTTGTGGCATTGAATATAGTAAGAGTCTTAAATTCTTCTGCATGATTTTTTTTCTTACAGAATAGACTTTGAAGTTGTCTTCAAAAGCTGCTCCTTTGTTAGTCTGTGCTATGATGAATGATTCAGTCGTCTTTCTGCTAACTGTGGCTCCGGCTGCCAGAGAAGGTGGGTGTGAGATGGGCACGCTGTCACTGTAGTCACATCGGGGTAACGAGTCGAGATGGTTTCTAACCAAATGCTCAACCAAGCAAAACAAAGCCATATGTTTGTCTAAAGGCCTGCGGACTGTTTGGAATGCCAGTGTAGTCGGGTCAGCGTGTTATGTCTGTTTGTCTCTCGCCGCTCTCCACCGGCCATCAAACACACACTGTAGCAAACAGTAAATAAATGACGTTCAGCAAACGCTCTGCTTCAGGCAGTGGCCCAGCCCTTTAATCTTAGCCAACCTCTCTTCCTCTTCTTTTTTCCCTTCTCTCTGACTAACCAACCCTGACAGACAAAGTGCAGAGGCCCCCATTCAGCTGCAGGGCAAATTTAAACAAATGAGAGGTATAAAAAAGAATGAGAAACAAAAAAGAATAAAAAGGGAGAAGTTGGGTACAGAAGATTCAACCGTGATTTGCACAGTTCAATGAAGGGAAAGAATGGAGACCAGTGAACTGAGGAGAAAGAGAAGAAAGGAAATAGGGAAAGGGCTCATGCATTTTCCAAAGACGAAACGGAGTGCATGAGCCTCAAAGAAAGGAAACCACTGAGCATTGTATCTAGAGCTTAACAGGTGTAACAAATTCACAAGATGGTCATTACCAAGGCAGCAGTCACTGCTTTTAGCATAATAGAAATATGAGATGTTGCCCCACAGAGACTGTGCACAGAATATGTGTTTGTTTGAAATGTAGAGCAGGCAACGCTGGAAGACATGAAAGAAAGTCTACTGTCTACTCCACATACAGAGAAATTTTCTATGGAAACTTTAAATGAATTTGTTTTGGGACCTAAGTGGGTACATTAGTCTTCATAAATTCTGAAAATACAGTCTGTAAATCAAGCATAAAGCAGTGAGAATAAGTGCATGCATTTTGACAAATGGCCTCAGTTTCAATTAATGGGACCATTAAATCTCAGTGGTGAGGCCGATGGGTGCTCTCCCAGCCACTGTGAGCGGAAAGCGCCGCCTCTCCAAAAACATCTCTGCTGTATACTACTGGACATGTACATGAAAACCTTCACTGTCTTTCAGCTTTGAAAGAAAAAAACAACAGAACTGCACACACGAGTGGGGCTAAGAGAGGATGTGTGCCGTGTGTCTAGGGCTGAGCAGCTTTAATAGTGATGAAAAATGGCCTCTCATCAAAGTTCCACTCTGGATAGCAGGAGTGCTCACCTCTCTGTTTTGAGTATGTGCTGAGCATCCATTCACTGCTTCATGTTAAGTGCAAGAAAAGCATTAAACGTGTGACTTTTTGTGGAGGCAGATTCACTTTAGCATGTGGCAGTGGTTTACCATTAAAGCCTCTTGGCCCTGAATAATTTCCTCCGACTCCTCCCGTGTTTTCCCCCTACGTGGTGGCGACAGGCTGCCAATAACGCTGCTACATAATAGCCAATGAACTGTCAACATTCGGCGAGTATGAAACACTTTATTAGTTGCACTCTGTCCTGGAGGTGTTGCTGACAACAGCTGTGGAATAACTTCACAGTATACACATGGCATATGTCCAAGTTCCGCATGCTGCACACAATGTGTACGCCTCTCTGACACCCCAGAGGCTCGTAGCTCCACGAAGAAACAAGGCACTTGACTGAACTAAACATCCACTACACCTGCTGCTCCATCCCACAATGCACAAATTGTAACATATTGGTGGGTACAAGGCTCCTTCTTTGAAGATAAAAATGTGAGAATGTATATCGGGCTCTACAGTCCAGAACTGTCCAGAACAATTTTTAATGATGCAGATGAAAAATGACTGCAGAATATGGATTTAACAAAACAATTTGCCATCACATGTAAAGGGAACATTTACACTGATAGTCTTTGGTCAGTGTTATAAAGCCCACTCCTAATTGAGAGTTGTGGGTTATGCAGATTCTTTGTTTGTGTCCAAATCTTTCAGATGGTTTGAGTTTGAGTTGCAGTCACTCAGTATGAGTCTCTGAACTGGTAACCAAAACGGACAAGCAAATTAAACCGAAGCTCAAATTCTGCATTCAAATGAAAACATTAGAAGACCAAAAACAAAGATTTTAGGCCCATGAATCTGCGGCTATTCACGTCAGTGACTGATTACTCTGATTAACACTCTCAGCCAAACAAAATGAACTAATAAGTGAAGTCAACTGCTTCAAATACTTTGGTCTGTAATGAGAACCATTGCACTTCTGTTACACATCCTTGGTGCTGAAACCTTAAAATGGGTCAAAGGATAAATCCGGCAGGTTGTGAAATTGTGAAAAAAAAAGACAGGGACTTAAGTGTGATTCTTTCGTGCCCTTTTCTTTTTACTGTTACAGTAAAAAAGTTATAGATAACCTTACATCCAATGGCCTCTTTAGATGAATTAAAATATTAAAAAAAAAAAAAAAAATCTGAGAAGAGGACATAACTCAGGGTCACATGAGGAGAATGATTTAAAGGGTCACCAAAGAGGTTTAGAGCCACTGAGTTGTACTTTGAAATATTGAAGCAGAGTGTAGAGTGGGTTTTACGGCTGGATGGCTTTTAAATCATGCCTCTGTAGGACTGAAGGAAAAAATTAATCATCTCTCCTTCTGTATCATTTTTTCCTTCGTGAAAGTACCCTGTAAAGTGTCAGAGAAAATGTACATTAAAAGGTCACAGTTGGTTCTGTCAGCCTGTCAGAATCATGGCAGAGACTGTTGTAGTTTTTTCACTTAACGCATGGAAAAACAACAAACACAAGGGAACCAACAACAACTGTCTCTCACTCCATATATGGTTTATGACGCTCGTTTCAACATGTAATGTAATGTTGAAGATAAATTCTAGTTGATTTCAATGTCCAACTTGTCCAACAGACCCATATTGTCAGGTACTGTCATCAGGGATAAGTAAAAGGACAATAATCCAACAAAATTTGCTCTGCTGGAGGTAAGTGCAGCTCAGTAGTTGAATAGATCTGAAGGAGTCAAGTTGTAAGAGTGAGTGTTTTTTTTCTTCTTAATGTGCTGAAAAGTTCATTACAAGTCATTATAAACACAAGACAATTTGCTTGTTTTGGTCCAGTGATCATATGGAGGAGGCCGTTCAAACACACCTTTTACCAAATGTGGACTAAACAGAAGCATGTTAATGCTTGTTTGATACTTTTTTCATAATTAGCTAGTTAGACATACACGTAGTGTCCTGTCATAGTTGTTTTATGTTGCATTGCACTCATATTTCTTGTGTGTTTAGAGATATTGCATGGTCTAATGGATGGGCTGCATTTGCACCCAGCAGAAGAGTCACGGCTCTAATAGATCATCTCCCCACTTACTTACGTACAGTTCATAACTCTGCCTGCAAGACCTAATGTTGTAAATGATCTGATTTTCTTTTAAATAATAACTGTTCATCTCAAACAACCTGAATTCAAATGTGAGGATGGTGTGTAAAAAAACATTACAGCAGATAGTGGCAGTTGAGTTGTTGTGCCCAGGTTGAACAATAACAAACACTTCTAGACTTTCACAGACATTTCTGCAATATACTGTACACTCCTACATGTGTGTTCACAGTGTTCAAGTTAAAAACATCCACACTCACAATTCACAACAATGCATCAAAGTTTCTTGTTAGCACAACAAGGTGCACACAGAGCTGAGCTAACCAGTGCATTTCCACTGCTCAGCATTATGCCCGTCACCACAGAACTGAAATTAAATATGAGTTATCTGCTCGCATGTGATATTGGGATTCTGAGTGTGGGTGTGCACAACTGTGTTTGTGCATGTGTGCGTATTCAGACAGTTTGAGAGTCTCTAGAGTTCATGGGAAATAAAAGAGGGTCCTAAGGGCGTCTCTGCAGCCTCCAAGCTGATGTGGGAGAGAGCACTGCCCTGAGAGCTAGTCAGTGTGTGAAAATGAGAGGGAGGAGCTTTGCCCTGAGCCTGGCCCTCCCCCTGCTCCAGGCTCTGGGTTGGCAGGGCTGCGTCTCCTGGTTCTGCTCCAGGCACAGTCCCAGCTCCTCCAGCATCACGCTCCTGCTTGTGTTTCTCCCAGGCTGAGCTCAGCTTCACAGCCAGAGCCAGAAGGTTCTTCCCCAGAAACACTGTAGACACACGAGGATCCCGGTACCACAGCATGCCTGTGCCCCTTAAAGCCAGAGTGAAGATGTTAATTGTAAACAAGCTCAGCCAAGGGTACAACGCCTCCTTACGTGGCCCCCTCTGTCCTGGCAGACTGGTGGCTCCAAGCTCTGTAAGGGCCACACATGGGAGCAGCAGTAGAAGTGTGTAGCAGTAGAAAAAAACCAGACCCTCCACCCAGATGGGCAGCTTCTGCTCAGCAACACCTGCTGCCCCTGCTGGGGTTCCACCCTGGACTTCCCAGAGCCCTGCCTGCAGGTCCAGTACATCCAGCAGGTCCACAACTACCCACAGTAGCCGGCCCCTCACTTCCTGCTTACGGCGCTGCGGTGTCATGTGGTCAGCACCAGTCAGGATCAGGAACAACGAGGGCAGGCAGATGGACAGCAACAGTGTCAAGGTTTTTCTGGCCAGAGGGTCGGGTGGCCGACGTTCCTGTCTGTAGTTGTGGCAGACAAAGAAGAGCTTCAGCTGCAGCAGCGACAGGAAGAGGAACCAGAGAGCGTTGGCGAAACCGCGTCTTGGCGACCGCACCTCTGACACCACACCAGCAGACACGAAGCGAAGTGCGAGCAGGAAGCCTGCATCACCTAACAGCACCGCTGCACACTGCCAGACACTAGGTCCTGGAGGACCGTGCGTTCCCAGCATGCTCTGCTCCAGAAGGTAGAGGTCGACCACTGCCATCGTGCTCACTGTTACCAGGGTTGAGACACACACCTGGGGCGTGGGCACCATGCCTGAAAGACACACAACACAGATGCACTGTGGGAAATCTGTTACATTAGCAGGATTCTAACACTGTCTACTTTACGTCTTTCATTCTGCTGCCTGGCCTTCAGGAAACAGACATGTACGGGGTGAGAACATGGCGTGTTGTCCTTTTCATGACTGTTGCAATCAAATCTGTAAACAGCTGTGTGCTGGTTTTGTTGAATCACTGGCTGTTGAGAAATCTCACTGTCCTTGGCCACAGCTATACCCTTGATGCTTCATCTGAAAAGCCTTTCAAAGTGTATTATTTTTATTTATTTATTTTTACTCAGCTCAATGAATTGAATAGCATCCAATAAATGCTCTTATATTACTCCCCTTTGATTCCAAGGCTTTCCCAAGTTTCCCGCTGTCATTTTTTCCGGCTCATTGTTGTCTGACGTTTTTTGTGCTGGAGTTATTCATTATTAATTAATTGCATTCAGGCACAGCTAGGTGCCCCGTCAAAGGTTTTTTTTGCCTCTATAGTCTGCAGTGTTTATTCTTATGCTGTGCTGCAGCCTTTAATCATCACAAATACCCCCTGTTATACCAAATGAATATTGATAACTTGCTATTTGCTCAGAAGTGCTTTTGCCTTGTGTCTTTGTGGACATTCAGTTTGTCCCTTTGAGCGCATTCAAGCAATGCTAATTTCACTCCGTCAGTGAGGGAGTTTTTTTTTAATTGTACCTCAGCCATAGATATATAATTTTAGTTATTGGTCTTAACGTGAAAAATGATCATTGACTTTTACAGTACAATCGAAGCAACATCAGTTTGTTGCGGAGCACAGACCCTCTGGACGGTCTGTTTATCTCCTCAGCCACACTCAGGGGTGTCAAGCCCTCAACTGGATCGATGGCATTATAATATAAAATCATTACCACCTCAGACGTGTTGTAATGGCAACAGTTGAGCATGATCGAGCGAGAGATTGTGAGTATGATTGGGGCCTCTGAGAAAAAGTCTGCCAGTGAAAAATGTGTATTGATGTTCTGCTGCTGAAAGACACATCTCTTTCCTCACTGTAGGACTAAACGGAGCCCTGCCATCTCCCCACTGCTGTATAAAACACTGAAGGGGCTGAGGAACTGTGGTGGACAGACTGGGGGTTTGGGGATGTAGCTGTGCAGAGACGGAGGAGGAGCACGAGAAGGCAAATGAAAGATTAATGGGCCTTTTGCTGTCTACATGCCTAATAAAGTATTACTGTATGATGGTAATAGTTCATAAATAAGCTCAGGGCAAGTGTGAGGGTGAAAGAGATAAAGAGAAACTGAAATGCAGATAAAAGGGACTTCCACTCACTTATAGAAACACATGCTTTCCCTGAGCTGGCAGCGCCTTGAGGAATCACATTTCATACATCACTGCAGGCACTGAAATATCCTGGACATTAGATATTGTTCTGAAGCAAATGGATCAAAGAGTTGAAGAAAGGAATGGTGGT